CAGTTTTTATCTTATTTTATCTTAATTTATTATTGACTGTGGAGCGTCACCCGTGTCCCATATTTGGTCTAATTACAAATAATAAGTACAATAGGCTTACTTAGAATTTTAATTTTTAATATTTACATATTTTGGTATGTTTAGAATGAGTAATATCCAGAACGGCCAAAATATATGCGAGTTAATATCAATCAAATTTTCAGTTTTTTTTTGATAAAATAATAAAATCTTATTTATAAATTACAAATTGTAATTTGTAAAAAATTATATGTCATTTTTGTGGAAAAAATACATTTTTTAGTGCATATTTGTATGGTTTTAAGTGCATTTAAATCCGGGCCCTAGTTATAATATAATATATATAATTTAAAATCATAAGTTAAGTTATCGCATCAATTCACTTAAAATTGAACAACTATCAACATGTTAGAGACAGATACGGTATATGAGATAGTATAGATATAACGAATAAAAAAAATGCTCACGATAGTTTGACAAAATTCAACATTGAAGTCGATTTGCTGTCAACTTTGAGTAATCAAGATTAAATTAATGAATTTGTTGAGGAAAAAATAAGAAAAAATAAAATTTATATATAATTAATTTGTAAATTGCAGGAATAGATAAAACAAACAATTTAATTTTCATTAATAATGTATCTTTTTTGCATACAAGGTAAAACAACAAATTGTATATTGAAATAAGTTTTATAAATAATTTTGGAAGGGATAGGCAAGGAAAGCCAGCCAATTGAAAAGTATTAATAGGCAGAAAAAACATCACTGGTTATGATTAATGTTAACATAATAATTTTTATAAAAAATTATATGTATATGTACCTGTAAATGATCTAATATACGTTTACAATTTTTGTAAAAGAGCCTAGGTTTAATTACACGAATACACAATATTGGTTTACATATAGAAATTTTTCTGAGAAAGTTGCAATTATGTTCTAATTATTTACTATGAATCAATTTTTTATTTTAATGCTGAATTTATAGTCATTATCTAAGAAATTTTGGCAAATTTACAATTGTCTGAAAATCATGTCCATTAGACATAATGTGTTAACCTCTATTATCGGTTATATCCTAGTCATTACTATGCATGGTTAAGTTCAATCAAAAATATTGTTATTAACCAGTAATTTTGGTCAATTATAAAATTTTAATCTTTGGTGGTAACATATTTGAATAAATATTTAATAGATGTAGGAATGAAATTTAAACCTAATTGATTAGTTTCATTTATCAAACATATAATACAGCATTTAAGCTGGTTAAATTATAACTCTTTATAAAAATTGGTAAGTCGAATTAGACAATTATTATTCTAAATAGGTAATAAAATTGAAAAAAATCACTATGCAAAAATGCATCCAGAAACTGATTGCCAATACCTATGTCTGCCAAAACATTTGTTGAAATATAAATCATATAAACTAAACGTTTCCTAGGCAAACATAAAACGTTTTCAAATATGTTTTTTAATTTTTATTATTGAATGTCGTTAACAATATGAGCAGGTAGTCTGTACAATCGACAAAACGCGGATTAAGATCACTACCGCCGTTGTGCCTCAGGTACCGTTGGACGCGTATTGGCAAGCTCGTCGAAAACCGCGACTGTGTGCACGCCAAACGAATACTCGTCAACTTGGGTCACAAACCTGACGATGGCTATAATCTAAACCGTGCAGTAATGATCGTCCAGCGTCACACATCGGCGTAGCGACTATGTGGCAAAACGACGGGATTGTGTAACCGTAGTGTACTCGGACAGGTAATAGACACCGCGCGAGACATATATGGAGAGACTGATCGTTATATACGATTTACGATATACAAAACGATTTACTCACCGATGTAAAAAAATCCGTCGATCTGCAGTCGGCACGTAAAGATTTGGTTACAGCAATGCTATAATGGAGCGGGCGGCACGAACTCTGGACGCTGACAATACGGTAATCGCCGTGTTTATTTCTCACAATCACACCCGACCATCGTCCACAAGATATTTCTTATCACGTGCTGCTATCGACGGACGTGATATTCTGTGATAGTAGTGCCATGGAATACATTGCTACTATTGTATGTGCTGCGTAACTCGCATGTTCATCTTATCATCCCCACTAACAAACGCTCACGCCACAGGCTAATGAATAAGTACTAATACTACTAATTATTATTTTAAACACGATATATCGATATCGTCATCATGATTTAAAATTTATGTAATAACTAATAATATAATATTATCCAAGTGTCGTGCTGACGTGCTGTGCCGCTCGATTATGACGACGTCGACACTGTGGTGCTCGGTCAGACACAGTTATACATTAATTGCATTATTATTTATTACTTCTGTAGTTCTGTGGCTACGGTCTGGTCTGTATGTGCTGAGCTGTTGTAGTAGATAAAACATACTAAAATGTCCTTGGTAATTATTAATAGTGTATAAGAATTTACCCATGTTTAAACTCAGATTCAGATTCCTGTTGTTCGAGGGGCATCGAACGATTATTGTGTTAAATCTTAATAGTTACTCAATGACCCAAAAATATGTCACAAGTCATGACCAATAACTATAACATTATAAATATTATTTGACATCAAATGCTATTTACAAATTAAAATAACCGAGGTATGACTATAATTCTATTTAATTGTCTATTGGGATACAATACAAATATTTATCTGTAATAATTATAACATTAATTTTTATTATTTAAATCTATATAGATGGGCATCCAACTATTAACTGAATAATAATTTAATATAAGTACTTATTTGCATAAGTTGCATGCAAATATTTGTGGTATTACTACAATAATTAATAGCACTTTAGCAATACTTTAATAATTAATGTCAATGTTGTAAAAATGCTTTAAATAGTATCTACTCCAAAAAAATGTGTAAACAGTGTTATTTAGGATACTATAATTATAAACTACCCAGCACTTGGAACATTGTTAAGTTATGTAGAGCTTAATGCGTTAGTTGAGAATTTGAAAGAAGCGAAACACATTACACTTATTAAGATACTTAAGTGTTATAACTAGAGTCTGAAATTATATGCATTTGCATGTTTGTACAGAGTGTATGCATATTAATGGGAGTTTGAAATGTCAACTCTTCATATCATACTAAATTTGACTTTGCATATTTTGCATATTTGGAGGATTATTTCATATAATACGTATATACTTAATGATTAATCAATTTTATTGTAAAAAAAACAAATTGTAGACATTGTTTCTCAGAGAAGTTTTGTTAAATTTTAGTTTTTTTTATTAATTTTATAATTAATAAAATATTGCATTTTTATATTTTATTATCTTAAAAGTTGTTTTCTATTTTAATTTTAAATATCATAGTAAAAAGTCTAAAAGTTAGATTGTTAGTATTTAAAATAAATATTTTAATTTATTCATAGCATGTGGTTTTAATTCTATTATTTTGAAAGTTAATTTTTAGGTTTTCCGAATTTTAGATGTGTTGTTTTAAATAATTTGCAATAGGTATTCACAATAATTTTAGTTTCCTTTTGAATATTTTATAATATTGAAATTTCATACTTTAATCTATTAAGTCTGTTACAATTTTAATTATTTGAGTATTTTTGATTCTGATAAGAAGTTTAGTAGTTTATTATTATTCTTGGTGTAAAAATGGTGTTTTATTTTTTTAAACATATATTATTAAGCGTAATATAATACATTTGATAATTTTTAAATGCATATAATTTCGGGTAACCCTGAAATACCTACTATATCTGAATAAAAGCTAGTTTAAAAATAAATTTAAGTAATAGGTAATCAACTTTTATAAAGTACCTATTCAAAAAATTTCCCAAGGTTAAAGTAAAATATCAAATAAATAAAAAATATCCATAGTTTTTTTTTTTCGAGGCTAGGAGAGTAATTAGTGATAGTCCATTCAATTAAAATAATCAAATTTGTATGAGGATAATGTTATAAAAAAGAAAAAAACATTTTCAATAATTTCAAAATTTAAGTTTTGATATTTTGTTTTAGACAAAAAATGAATCATGAGTTACAATATATTTTTTTCATTTATACATTTACATATTAAAATAAAGCCCTGTTTTGCTCTTTCTCAAGTATCCATTTTAAAATACTTGCTTATACATACCATCATACCAAAACGTAAAAGAGGGTAAAATTGTATATTTCACACATAACAGAACAATAGTTATATTATTATACAGTTGTTTTATAGAATGCGATAATTTGTTAATTAATGGCATATATAATAAATAAAAATATTTTAATATTAATATGTATTAAATGATTAAATAGTATTCAAAAATACATGTTAGGCTTAAAATATTTTTATGGATCTCAAATAACAATAATTTTCCTGCAAGTTTTTCAACCTTGCGTTAGGTATACAGTATAGCAATTAATTATTTATAACCTTGGCTAGGCTAGCACTGACTAGAAGATAAAATTCATGTAAACAAAATATTTGTTATCATATTTATTAAGTAATAATAAATTAATAATAAAACTATAAACAAATGGCAAATATTTCAACAGTGAAAACTTAAAAAAAAAAAATAACAAGTATCTAAAAGAAATATTGTAAATAATTTGTATTTTTATATTTTAAATTACCAGCTGACTGTAAATACTAAAAATACATTTTGTCATATTCAATTATTTTTATAAAGTTTGAAATCTCGCTGATAGTCATTATAAAAATATCTATAAATAATATTTCATCATTAAGGTATAAGTAAAATAAGTACATTCGTAAATATGTTCTTTTAGCTGTTATTCATTGACCGTAAAATCTTTACAAATAAAATAAGTTTTATTTATTAAAATTATTAATTTATACATAAAATTGTAGTTAACATATAGTATAGTAACTAAAATAACAATTGTTAATACAATTTAATGTATTGATTGGTTAGCCACATAAACAGTTGATTTTAATTGGATCAATTATTAATTAATTACTTTTTTAGAATGAATTTTGATTTGAAATATTATATTATACTCTCATATTTTTATAGAAAAACTCGACTCTTACTATAAATTAATATTTTGAGTATAATCATAATCTATAGTCGGTATAACTGACTGAACAAATTTCAAAAATATAATTAAGTACATATGTACTTCTAAATCTTTACCGCCATCAGTCACCATTTGGATCAACTTTTTCATAATATCTGCATGTCTGTAAATATTTAATAATAATTAATTAAATATCAACAATTTTTATATTAGTTAAAAATATAATGATAATATTTAAATGATATATTTATAATAACATTAACTGTTATTTTAAGCATAGGTGTGTCTATAAATGAAAGGATATATTAGGTATGTATTTAGTAAACTCAGGTTCAAAGGTACAGTAAATTAATTACCTAAATTTGAAGAAGTTATATATAATAATAGTTCTCTTATAATTATTAATATTTATTCATGAAATTCAATTTTAATTGCCCCTAGGCACAGGGGAATTAAAACGTATTCATTTGAAGAGTTAGAAGTTTTATCTTTCTATGTATATATTTTATTTTATGAAAATTTTAAAAATGCCTGCTAATAATGGGTGTCAATAAATTTAAGTTTCACTATATTATACTATCAAATTATTTTGAATAATTGTTGAAATAATATGTGTCAGATATAAATATTTTATTTTATATTTTTTTATGAACATTATTTTACTATTATTGGTATCTAACTTTAATATTGTGTGCAAGTATGTCATCCCAATAGATAGATAATAATAAATCTTTTTTAATTTGACATTAATTTTTACTTTATTGTAATACTTAGATATTTTAAATCACACAGCGAACAAATGAAATTAAAATTTACTATTTTAAATTTGAGAAAATAAAAGATTTTATTTATTTTATGTATGATATTTAAAATGTTTGTATATTACTGTTTTATAGATAATACATGAATTTTTACTTAAAATAATTTTTATCAAATATTAACATCACTTCATAATTTATTTATTAATTTTTTAAGTTTTTTTAAATTATGGTGTGTAATCCTCCAGTCAAAAATATTCAGAAATACCAATGATTTTAAGTAGTCTTCTCAAGAAAGTAAAAATACTATAGATAGTAACTATATAAAAATTATACTAACTTACTTATAAGATAATTTATTTTTTGATTCTGAACAAAGAGAAGTGTAATTTTTATTTTACCTCATATAAATTATAGGTGTGTCCAGATTTTTAAAAAGTAAATTATCAGTAATTGTTTACTAAAACATTTTTGATAAATATGAAATTATAATTATTACTCATAAATGTTTTTACAACAAATTGGTTAATAAATGAATAAATAAAACAAAAATAATATCTTAATTCTTGCAGACTAAATAATTTATACTAATAGTTTTAAGTTTATTATTTTTTTTTTTATATTTATTGTATTTATCAATATTATTTACTGAAAATAATAAAATAAGGAAGTCTTGTTAAATACCCAATAATCATTTTTATCATTAATTAATTCATTTAAAAATATACAATCACAAGAATTGATTTAAATATTTATACATAATTAATAGTTTATAATAATAAATAGATCTTAATCCGAGTTTACAGCTATATTGTCATTTTAAAGATTTGAGCTCAGTCAACTCTGTAAATTGTCTGATAGATCTGAAACTGTAAACTCGGCTTTATTAAAAATATACATACTTGCAGGGATGTATTGAAGCCATAGAAGGACCTGGATTATGTGGGTGTGATTCCATGGTAACAGTTTTCTTTGCATAATCTTGACTCACATCTTCATACATTTCTTCAACATTTAAAGGTTTTTGATTCTAGTATTCATAAATTATATTGTTTTCATAAAAAAAAAAATAGTTTTAAAATTTGATATTAATCATTCAAATGTTAAATAACATATACAAACATATTTAGTAAAAATTAAGATAATGTTATTACCAGTGATGCCGAATTGTATTTCATTTAATGGGACAAAGCATAAAAATTAATTACCACCAACACCCATTAACCGGTTACATTAGGTATTACATTGTAAATACAGCCATCACAAAGAGGCTCGCTTCGCTTACAATTTATCACTCCTATTAATATTAACCTATTAGGACTTCAGATACTAATTAGTAAATAGTTATTATTTCTTACATATCCCCATAGCTATACTTTTACCTATTCACAAATAACTGTCTCTTATTCTCTTATGATTAGTATACATTTTTAATTTATCACTTTATCATACATTCATACATCAAACCTTAATACTGATACATATAAAATATCAATGCTACACGATAGTATTTATTGTTAAATAAATTGAAACACCACAAAATAATATGAATTATGATTGGGTAAAATGGTTCATAAATCTATATTTTTTTTATTAGTCATACATACTGAAAATGAAAATTACCTATATATTGCTTACCTACTTCAAAGCGGTTTTAGAAAAAAAACAAAAGACTATAATAATATAAATAGTAAGTTTATATTATTATGTAAAGAAATGTTTAATCTTAAAACAGAAAACAATTTATATCATTTTTATACATCTGTAATTTAAAAAATAGATATTTCAAAAAGGATTAGTGAGGCTATTGGTAATTTCACCATCTTAAAATTTTATAAGATGTGATTTGCATATTGAATCACTTTTAAGTGCTGAGAAATGTTTAGCTCTATTATGTTTTTAGTGCCAAATAAATGTATATGTCAATACATGTCTTTACTCTTTATGACCATATGAAGATGTGTATTGACGAAGACAGAAAATGTTGGTATTTCTAACCATCTGGCACTTACTGATCACCACTATAGTTAAATATAGGGGTGTACCAACTCATAAAATTACGTGTTTAGTGCCACTATTTATCATTATACATTAAACCTATCATATATGTAAGGTAAAATAGTATTGAAAATTACATTTTTATGATTAAAATATAAACCTTTTAATATAGAATAAATAAAAATATCTTGAACAATTGTGTCAACAAAAATTTGACAGAATAAAATGTAATTAGGCTGAGATTATTTTTATGATTTCAGAAAGATACAGAAATTTCACACACAAAATTAAAAAGAGTTTAACGTTAAAAACTACTCAGAGCTTTGTTTCAAATACTACATAATAATGTTTTTAGACACTTACTTCATTATAACCACAAAGCCATAGTCTTGGAGTTTGATAGAATTTGTCATAAGTTATGTGTAAGTCATATGTTCGTGTTTTTAATATACCATCAACAGACGAACTAGATAACTTTTTTTCTTTTGTATGTTCTGGATAAACAGTCACCTTAAAAAATAATTTTATGTAAAATCTAACTTCAAATTATTTTTATTTTTAAATCAACAAAAATGATTTTTAAAATAACTAACTAATATAATTAATTGTATAATAGCTTTAAAATATACTAAAATAAGAAAAAAAAGATAAAAAAAACCATGGTATAATTTACTGATTTAATTATAACTCATAAATTAGACTTTCAAAAAAATAAATACTAGAATATTAAATCATTTTCTACTCAAGAAATATTTTTAATCATTTATTTAAATTTATTAGTAAATAATAATAAATATAAGAATAATTTTATGATAATTTATTAACATATTTAAATATTAGCCATTATTATTTGTTGTTATTTATGATATTATTACTAAATACAAGGTGATTGTTAAATAGAAACATTAATTATCTTATAACCTATTAAATTTTTTTGTAAATATTTCAATTTTTACATAGTTTTAGATTTTTAACCATAAAAAAATAACCTTTTCACATTTAATTTGATAAAAAAATTACCATTTTTATTATTTAAATTTTTTTAAGTAGTTACTTTTTATAATGATGTGTAATTTTAATTCTTTATTTCAAAACAGAATATTATTTTTAAGTACTTTGATGGATAAAAATCGAATTCTGGACAGCTAGTTAACAAATTACAGTATTTAAAGTTTAAATCTAAAATTTTAACAATATTTTGCAGGATATTCCTGTGCCACAGCTCATTTTTAAATAACATAACAAATAAAATACTTGTCCAAAATTGAATTTTTATAAATCAAAGCACTCAAAAACAAATTCTGTTTTGGTATAATAATTTAAAAATGTATTTCATAAAAAAGTTTTAAAATAGAAATTTTTTTAAAAATTTTAAAAAGTTTTTAAAACAATCAATGTGTTTAAATAAAAGAATCAACTAGTATATATATATTATACTAATTAAGATATACTTTTATTTTAATCTGTAAATATTTACTAACTGTTCTTTTTAAAAGCAATCTAATAAAATTTACATTCAATTCACCATAATTATTTTCATTTAAATATAAAAAAAACTAACCGAATCATCGTCTTCAAGCAAACCACTTTCAACAAATGCATCCATATCAATAGCATCACCTTCTTCTTCATCATCCTCCTCATCATCAATAGCATGATCATTTTGAGTGTCTACTTTAATATTTCTTACAATTGGGTTGTCATTGGTTGCACTATTTAAAACATGACTATCCTCGTTAAGACTTGTTACATTTAAACTGTTCGGGTTTTCCTACAAACATTTAAGTATTAAAATTATAATGTACAACATTTATTCAATTAAATACAAATGTTTTCATCTTGTATATAAATGGCATTAAACCATGTGAATGCACTATATGATTAATAATATAAAAGATGATTTTGATAATACTTTTTTCTGATAATAATAATTCACATGCATCACAATATGAAATGTAAAACATTACCTATTATCTCGAGTTTATACGTATTACTTGGTATTAAAAATAAAATTATTTAGCGAATAATTTTGTATTGTGCCATCATACCTGGAGTTATAGTTTTTATAAATTATGGTAGTGTTAAGTATGTAAGTTATTAGAACAGCATATTAAGCATTGTATGATAATTATATTAGTGCAATATGGTTTATTAAATTGGAGCAAGAGAGTTTTGTTACAAATGCTTTGAAACTTTAATAAATCCAACAGACAAATTATGTATAAAAACATTAAAAACCATTTAAATTATTTAATATAATATTTCCAGTTAACCAAGGAGTGCAGAATTAGCAAAAGAGATTGCTTAACAGAGTATAAGTAATTATTTGTACTAAATGCAAATAATATGTACTTTTGATTTTAAAATAGTCCGATAAACTGTTTTAATATACTTATGTAATGCTAAAAAGTAAGACGGTGACTTTTTTTTTTTAACAATTCTTAATTTAATAATTTGTTACAAACAAATGAACAATAAGTTAAATTGATAATATAAATATTAAATAGTCATTGGAATGATGGAGTGAAGAGATTTCCCATTGGAGATACATAGTCAGGAGAAAAAAAAGTTAAAAGTTAAATATTATAACATTTTTTTTCTGATTTATATTAGCAGGTCACGATACCACTGTCTTTTTAACCTCTTTTGAGAATTAACTGGAATGGTTATGAATGAGAGTTGATTTATGAGAAGGTTTGGATGTTGGATTAATCGGCTATTGAAATGCTTATAGTTATAATAAAGTTTGGCTAGTTAAGTGACAGTTGGTATTTTAAAGTCAGAATGGATGAGATTTGTTAGAAATATAGAATGGAACTTTTAAAACGATACGAAGAATTTTTGTTTGGAATCTTTGAATGTTAGATATTTTGGCTGTCCTCCAGAGTTGGATACAATAAGACCCATTGGTCTTATAAGAAGTTTATAGATTAATAGTTTAATAGGCAGTTTTATTTTTTTGGATGTTAATAAGAATTGTAAGAGACGACAACTATTAAGTAATTTAGTACGATAATTTTGCTTTTAATGTGTGGTGCCCAAGTGAGTCAATGGTTGATATAAATTCTATGATATCGTACACATTGGGCAAAAAACAGTGACTTTAGTTCTTATGCTTATTAAAACATACATGCTTTAGTTGGAATTAAATTTTTATTAGTTTTTTTATAACTTCATAAATATGTTAACTAAAACTATAGCTCATATTGTAAAAAATGTATCGTAATATAAAAAAATTAATTTAAATGTATTTCAGTTTCTTACATTTTTTATGTGTTGAGATAAAATATTTTGGGAAGATCTTCAAAAATATAACTTAAGTTTTCTAAAAATAGGTTATTAAAACAAAACATATAATTTTAAAACTCTATTTTCTTAAACTATATTATTAATTATTTTAATTTTTATTAACATAATAAATTGGTTCAATTATTAACAAATAATATACCAAGAGTTTGAATTTTATTTGAAATATGACTCAAGACAAATTAATATTGTGATAACTATATTTAAAATTAAATTTGTATAAATTTTAAATTTTTGAACTAAAATGTATGTACTAATTTGAATGATTATAATTGCATAATATTTGAAGACTAGGATAGAAATATTTCACTTTATTTTGAAACATTTGTACAAATTAAATTACTGAAATTTTTAATTAAACAAAATTATTTTTAATATCTAATGATAAATTCTTTTAAACTTAACAAAATACTTTTAAAAATAATTTTTATGAAACAATTTAAGTGACATACTTTAAAAAAATATCCCAAATACTTTAAGAATACATAAGTTAAATTTTATATAATATCAAAATAATAATGGTCTATAATTCCTAGCAATTTAAATCTAAAAATATCTATTTTTAATCATTTATAATAAATAAAACATTTTAAATTCTTAAATTTTAGTAATTAAAAAATTAAGTTAAACTGCTAATTAAAATTATACTTATATGTACATTTTTCCATGAAAGAACAAATTTTCAACAATAACTCAAAAATTATGTTAATAAATTTGAAACTAAAGCTAAACTAATAATACAGTTATTAATGTAATAAATGATGCACTGACTAAATACAATGAGTTCTAAAAATGTCACTATATTCTAAAGTTTTGTTAAGGCTTAAAAAAGTCTGAAAATAAAGATAAGTTTTTATTTTTTTTAAGTGAAAAAGCTAGAAAAAATTTTTTTATACAGACTTATTGCAATTTACACAATAGTGACAGACTTATGGATCTATAAAACCAGTTTGAGTTACCTAATATCCTCATGGTAAATTGTCTACAATTTACCATATAATATTTATTTTGTAAATTTTACAATGTAATTTGAATTATCATAAATACTGAAATACTTATAAAAAATCGGTTATAATTCTATTTTGAAAATGATAAAAGAAAAAACATTTTGGTCCTAAGATTCGCATTAGTAGTTACTAGTTACTAGTAAGAACATAAATCATGATTATGTTTTAAAAAATATTTCTAAGTAACCATCTACTTTTTTGAGTAATAAATTAGTCTTACATACTTCTAACGATATTTCTGATATTTTTTCATTCAAAGGTGAGACTGTATAATCAAAGTGATGTGTTTCAACCCATCCTTCATTTCCTTCTTCAGATTCTACAATATTCTCTTGAACTTCGCAATTTTCAATCTAATTATAATTATAAATGATATGTATCATATATTTAAATCAATTGAAAACAATTATTTACTTGTTTACATCGGCGTACACACGGAACATTTCTTGTAATTAAGTATTGTTTATTTTTCGGTAAATAAGATTTAGTCTTGCACTCATCACCACAAGCCCATTCCCATGTTGGACATGTATGTACCAAGTGATCACCAGCAATAACAAATTCATTTGGAGTCACTACACCAGTTTCTTTAAATTTTGATTCCTATTAAACACATAGATTCATTTACAATATAATAATATTTAAATAATAACATATAGTCATTGACAAAACATATCTTAAATATAGTTACTATTAATTTCATAGAAAACACCTAGCCAAAATGCAATCAATAGACATTTAATAATCTTTTACTTCTCAAAATGAATAAAATTTTAATTTTGAAGGCAAAATATAGTTTGTTTAAAATTTTTTTTTAAGTATGTTAAAATATTTATACTTACGTGAAAAAATAATAAGTACCTTTAAAACTGGAGTCAAAAATCCAGCGAAACCTAATGCAGTGCCCTTCACACTGTTAATAACGTTTTGCATGATAATTTTGTTGTAGATACTACTTTGAATTGATTGATTTAATGTAATTTAATGTAAGTACTAGTCATGAGACCAAAATTAACCCGTTCGATTCACGTCGTCGAAAATTATTGCTCAAATTTTTAGGTTGCAGGTACGTAAATTATAATTATTGCGCTACACCGCAACGCAAACAATTAACAGAAATTTGTTTTAATCTGTGGAAACGCGTGATGTTATTGTTCGACAATCCAGTTACGGGTCAGTAAAATCTTTATATTTATGTAAATACGTATTACGTAATAATTATTAAAGGTACATGCAAACAATACAAGAAAATATAGCGAAAACTTTTGTAATATTGCAATGTAAATAAGTGGTATTATACATGTAATAAGTGTGTGTGTGTGTATGTGTGCAAGGTATGTGTGTATAGTGATAAATGATAAGAAAAATATATTTCAAACACGTTTTTTGTAATTTAATGACCCTGAGCAGTAAAAATGATAATATTAATACTTATAGATAATGTCAGTGAACAATAATACAAAATCTACATTATCTTTATTGCATTTATCATAACCATTGAAGATTGAACCTTATCATGATTCATGAGTGTTCCGATTTACGATAAAATTTGGTACATGCTACTGCAGATAATGGTATATACTATATTGTACATATCTGTGCTTACTAATTAGTACATTTTGAACATTACTAATTACTACTGAACATTCAGTTATGGGGCTAATATGGGTATAGCCCGGAAATTAACACACTATAATCTAGTAGCTACCTACCGAATTACACATACATTTACAGTTTAAGCGCTTTAAAACACTGAAATGGCCTTAAAATGTATAAATATAATTCATATAAGTAAAAAAAACATTTTAATATTACAATTTTTAGTTTTATTTCGTTTTTATTATATATTTAATACACAATTATAAAATAATATAAATTATTAAATTAAAATGAGTATTGTTTTTCAAGTGCCACATCAAACACAACTATGAATAAATTTTATATTTTATTATTATTGATAGTTCTCTTAGAAGTCATTTTTTTTCACAATCGCCTAATTTTGGAGTCAAATTTGTAGTTAACAATAAAAAAATTGAAAAATATGTAAATAAATAAAAATAACCTAAATCATTTAATTTTTGCAATTATTTTCAAAATATTATGTTTGAAATTGTTTAGGTATAATATTCATGTTTATAGTTGTCAGTTGATCACTCAACATTTTAGTACAGTAAAAATATATATATATATTTAAATATCTGAGCTCTAGTTATGAGCTTAAATATTAGAATAAACTGACATATTTGAAGTTCCTTAAACGTAAGAACATTAACTGAGTTTTCACGTTGGATTTTTACAAAGCTTAATTTTTAAGGAAATATGTGGGTATGTAAATCATTAATCTTTAAAAATGACAACTATTATTACTATTAAATGACTATTTATGTTTAAAAATTTAAACATTGTAAATACCAAAATACCTATGATTACTTTTTTTTAAATTAATAGCTTCAATTTTACTTGTAACGTCAGTAAAAATATGTTTATCAACTAGGATAAAACCATTTTAATATCACTGTATAAATCTAGTAATAATTATAAATTCATTTACCGAATAGTATAATATAAAAGTCCTATTTAAAACAAATTAGTTCCTCCTTGGCTGTTTTTACCTTAATTTTTTAATAACAAAATATTCTATTATTTATTATTTGTATTATATATAATGTGTAAAATAATAATAATAATAATAACACTCACTATAAAATAGTTCTATAGGTCTGCTTTTACTCCAACTAGTATAGCTATCAACAAACTATAATCATACATAAGCCTAAAGTGGTGTAAACAATGATTTCAGAATCCAGATTTTGTAATATAAAACAAATTATTAACTATAATTATGAAGACTATCTGAAGCTTAGTATAAATACTTAAAAAAAAAAAAATTTATTATCTCTTTTTTGCTAAATTTTATCTTTTTATTATATTAATATTAACAAACTAATTATATCTGTTAATGCTAGTTTTAAATTAAAATTTCAAACAAATTTTTAATTTTCAGGTAGGTAGTAATATTTTTTTGAATAAATAACCAATTTGAATACTTATACTACAAAAATCCAAAACATATTTAAATTACTTAAATAGTTTTAGATATTCAGTAGTATGAAATTAAAGCATTAATTTTTGGGTACTGTAAGTAGGTAGCTTTATGAATTAATAATAAAATTAAATATAATAAATATAACTAGTATAAATATATTACTACATAATTTAAACATGTAATTAATTTTTAACGTTGTAAATGTAAATAATGTAATATACTCGTAAATTAATTAAATATTAACTAATTTGTTATCCATATATTAATTGGCATCATAGGCAGATATTTAATTTTTAGGGGGGCTTAAATCTTTTTTTGCATTGTTGTAAAATAGATACCTAGGTACCTATTTAATACTTTGAAAAATGTTTAATAATTTTGGGAGGCTTTTAATTTTTTTTTCTGAGGGGGAGGGGAGGGCTACGTGCTCCAAGCACCCTTTAATCTCCGCCTATGATTGGCATACTACTGAAATGCTTATTGAATAATACATATTACCTAATTATTAATGTAATAATGTATTTACCATTTGTACCATTTCATATTATAATAAAATGAAAAAATAATACTTAATTGTAAATTAACATCTTAATACCCACTAACATTATCTTTTATTATAAAAAAATAAAATATACTATTATACTAGTAATATAATATTATTTTAGGCTTTTAGCTATCATTAAAAATAAATCATATTAACCAACGATAATTAAATGTAACTACTAATTTTGTTAAGAACTGTTAGTAATAGTATGAGTATACTTAATTTTAAACTAAGTATATGGGGTATTAATTTAATATAAATAATACAAAATTATTTATGTCCTGTAAACAAAGTTAAATACTTACTCCATAGGTAGATAAGCAATATGATCACAATTTAATATCAATAAATAATAACCTGTAAGTTATTGTGAAAAAAATTTGTAATTATTTATTTAAAAAAAAAATTTTTGATAAATAAAAATAAACATTTTATTTAATTTCCTATCTGAAGTTAGGTTATTCAAAAAAAAAAAATTTACTACTTACCTTATGTTCATTTTTCATTAATTCAATACTGGCTTTAGAACTAATTTGATGAAAATACAAAAAAAAAACTTTGGATTTCAGGATTTTTAATTTAAAAATAACATTGCCTAGTAATTGTATTAACACTAACTATTAATGAGAACAGAAAAGGATTATTATTTTACTATATATCACTGATGTCTGATTGACTCAAAAATAAAAAGAATCAATATTAATTTTAATATATTTTTGTAAGAGGTTATTGTATAAATTAGTTAGATTAGTTAATTCACCTATGTAAAGTATGAATAGTGAATAGTAAATAATATTAAATAAAAATTTAATTTAGTGGCTAGTAATAATATGAATAATATGATGTATTGTTTATTCCAAATTTAATGCCATACAATTTTAATTCATGATGTATTGATATTTAAACAATAAATTATGTATTTTTTAGTGATACAAAATCATTTTATTTGTTTTATTGTCTAATATTTACAATTTTATAAATAAATATAAACAATACATTTTAAAATAACCCTAACAATTAACAAATCCATTAAAAATTACAATAACAATATAATTTTGTAATAACAGAAATTTAAAATGACTAATCAACTTCAAGAATTGAATGGCATGGATAAAAAAATTGTTTTACAGATATTCTCAGGTTAAAAAATTAAATTATTACTATAAATAATAAGATCTATAGATTAGAAAAATTATTAAATTAATCAAACTACCTATGGAAGTAATTAAAAAAACAAAATAAAAATATTTGTAAGAAAGAAATATTTTAACTTTGTTACTAAGGAAATTACTAATTTTAAAATATGATAATGTACAGTTTCTAAGAACTTTTAAAGTAATATTGTAATATGACATAACTATAAAACTAATTATACTATAGTTTCATCTAAGTATATATTATTGTATCACTGTTTATTTAATAAAATATTTTATATATTTGAATAATCTAATCATTATACATTCATTGACATTTAGACAGGACTAAATAATTTACTAAGAGATATCAAAAAATATTTTTTTAATATAATAATTTAAGTTAGGGAAAACATGACTGAAAGAAAATAAATAATATAATTTTGAATAAAAATGTTGTCATCCATAATAATTACTATAAATTATAACATTTGTTATTTTCAATAATGTTAAAATTATTAATATTAATGTCTCATTATTATTTTTATTGCTGTATGTATATAATATACAAATATGTATAAAATTTTACTTTTTAGCCTATGGATTTGGTTTGGTCAGAGGATTCATTGAAATACACGCAACATTCATGAACCAAAAAATTATAACACCTAAAATTCCAGTTCACCAAAATGAACTAAAAACTACCTCAGACATTATTTGGCCTATGGATAATGATAGATTAAAAAAGTAAAAACGAAAATTTTTATTTGGCTTCATAATAGTAATGGGTAATATTGTAAGTTATTTTTTATTATTTGAGATCAAAAATGTCTAATACATCTATAAGAGTTGAGTGCTTTCATATTCCATTAAATAAAACTAGTTCAAATGAAAAGCTTGGTTATCTTTTATTAAAAGTGAAAGGGGCACAAACTATTAATCCAATATCCAATGACCGCGTATGTAATACTTATTTTAGATTTTCCTACATAAATATATTAAACATGGTATTTAATAATTTATTGTTTATTAAATACCAACACCTATTTTTAAATTTAATTTAAAATTTCAAAATTTTAGATAGAAATTAAACCATACAGATTAATAGGATCAAAAAAAGGTAGTTATGAACTTAATTTATCATTACGAATTGAAGATTTTAATGATATAGCTACTAAAAAATCATCTGAAAAAATTCAGGATTCAAAATCGAAGAATAAGAGTGATTTTAAAAAAGGTAAGCTATTGAATAGGCAATTTATTTATCTTCATATAATATTTATTGTTCAAGGATTATTGTAATTTAATAATATAATAGAATCATTTTACATTAAAAAATAAAAATTCAACAATACTAATGGCTACTGTTACTGACTACTGTAACTAATGGATAATAAATTCTTATGTAGCTTTAATATTTAAACATTTTAAACATTAATATAAATTTAAAAACTATTAACATATACAGTTTTAGCTATATTTTACAAATACAATAATCATTTTTTTTTTAGTATTGTTAGTATAAGTATTATCATTTATCTTGTTATAAAATATTTATTTTTTTTTCAATAGAGGAAAATAAACACATTGAAGAAAACATTGAAATA